GGAATCTTAGGGTATCCAAAGGCTGCAAAGCTCCATTTCATCCAGTCTTCTGCATTCAGAAATGAAAAGGGGAAACACCCTATCTTGTATATAAGACTAGAATAGAAATAGAATAGAATAGAAAATAGAATAGAATAGAAATTAGAATTAGAATAGAATAGGAATTAGAATAAAATAGGAATTAGAATAGAATTAGAATAGAATAGGAATTAGAATAGAATGGTATAGAATAGGAATTGGAATAGAATAGAATTCTTCATTGGCCAAGTGTGATTGGACACACAAAGAATTTGTCTTTGGTGCAAATGCTGTGTACATAAAGAAAAAATGAAATATAATACATTCATCGAATCATAAGATACAACACTTGGTGATAGTCAAAGGTTACTAATAAGCAATGAAACCATACTAGGAAACAAACAATATAAATTGTAAAGATACAAGCAACATGGTTATAGTCATAAGTGGGAAGAGAGATAGGTACCTTGGGGGGAGGTGTAGGTGTATATGTTGCACACCCAGTCTGGTTTGTGTTAATTATGACCAATGGACTCAAACCTACCAGACCTGGTATTAAAATCATTGTTTACAATTGCATTCCTCCTGTTTTATTCCACTTGAATGAGCAGAGTTGATTTCACAGTTCAATCCAAACCTCGATTACGTTTGCAGTCAAGCACCCCTTTCCTGTCAATCTAGGCTAATGGATTTTGCAAAGGGACCAGCATTTAGTGAATTTATTTTTAAGCCAATATGCTTTCAATGAGCGGCTTTGAATGCATTGGGGTGCCCCCTCCCTTTCCGTTCGTGTTCTTGTGAGAGGGTTGTGTCGCTGCAGCATCCAAAGAATTTTGGCTTTGGAGCAAGGCATATTTTGAATTTGTGACGATGGGGTTGCAGGGTAGTTGGAATGATGAGTACATACCTCAGCCTTGGGAGTAATGCTTTCGGTGGGCAAACATGACTTGTCTGCCTCTGAAGAAAGTAAAAGGGGCATCGTATTCCTGATCTTGGCATATAGTTCAGCGTAACCCTAATAAGTTTGTATGTTGAACCGTTGTTGAGAGACACCTTCCAAATGCGTGGAGGATACAATCTCCCCATTAAAAAAATATTTCCACCAGTTGCAGGGTTTTGTTGTGGTGGGTTGTTTCTCAGATCATTGTCATCTCCTTGTATCAATTCATTTAATTGGTTGCTTAAAGACATAAGCCCTGCAGAATCATTTGCTAAGGGAAAAAGTTAAAATCCGAATTTGATTCCAGCCAGCGACAGCCAGCCCAGCACATTAAAATTAAATCATCTACAGATGGGGAATCTTCAGATGAATGAGATGCAGTTACTCCAAGGCATTTTGGCTAGCTAGTTGCCTGAAAGAAAATGCTAAGGCACTTGAAATATTCTTCCCAGCCCTACTAGAACTCCCCTCCAATTGCTTAACCCTTCCATTCCCTTATCAGTCATGTACACACCAAGCTTAATCTTTGCACTTCCTGCTAGCCATCTGCCTCTCATCTGTCAGCCTTTTTCAGCGTATTGGAGTGTATAAAATAAACTCGTAATTTATATTTTTGTAAGCCCTCCGGGCACTTACAAAACTATAGGTAGCTCAGTGCCTAAGATGCTGAGCTTGTCGATCAGAAAGGTCGGCAGTTCAGCGGTTCGAATCCCTAGCACCACGTAACGGAGTGAGCTTCTGTTACTTGTCCCAGCTTCTGCCAACCTAGCAGTTCAAAAGCACATAAAATGAAAGTAGAAAAATAGGAACCATCTTTGGTGGGAAAATAATAGTGTTCCATGTGCCTTGGGCGGCCACATGACATATTCAGACAGTACTGGCTCTTCGGCTTTCAAACGGAGATGAGCACCGCCCTCTAGAGTCGGGAACGACTAGCACCTAGGCATTACAGATCAGGGAGCATATATACATGTGTAAATATCTCTGGAGATTCTCAATCATCGGGCCATGTTGGTGCCAAATGTGCTCCCCCCCCACCACATTTTCTTTTCTTTTGAAAAGATTTTGCTTCTCATCCAAGAACTGAAGATGTTTTTTGGATGAGAGGCAAAACATTTTCAAAGGGAAAAAAACCCCAAGGAAATCCTGTTCTCTTTTTTTGGGGGGGGAGCACCTGTGCAATATACATATGTATTGTT